AATTTGGTCGCCGTACAAATCACCGCTTCACGACACGAACTCACGTAAACGTCACGGCGGGAAAAATGACACAGGTCCTGCCTTGACGGGCGCTCGCGCCATACTAATCGATGTCGGCTTGCGTATTGTAATTTATACTGATTTTCACATCAATATTTTGACAAAGTGGTTAGTAATATTTAAACAATAACCAGTGGCGGATTAAGAGTATCCGAGGCCCTAAGCACAGAGCCTGTGTAGGCCCTCTATTGCTTAAATGGACATGTAAGGAATGGAATGGAAGGTAGAAAGTATAAAATGAAAGTTCATCAAAATAGAAATATTGTGGATGAATCTCGATAAAATCTATACTAATATTATAAAGCTGAAGAGTTCGTTTGTTTGTTACATTTTAAAAAACCATTTATAAATCCTATGAGAATATTTCGGCTTCTACGCGGACGAATTCGCGGGCGCAGCTAGTGTAGGTAGGGTTGCCAGGCGTCCGGCTTTAGCCGGACATGTTTGGCTTTTTAGGGACTTGTCCGGCCTGTCCGGCTTTTGTTAGGCTTTTTATTTGGTTGCCGCGCCAGGCGAAAGTCGAGCCACAGAATCATATGAAGGATCATATCAGGATGTTGGTGAGCAACTCACTCATGAGCTGACACCAATTGCACCCCCTCTCCCCCTCCGGCACATGTCCGGCTTTTAGGGTAAAATATCCGGCCAAATGAAGCACAAAGTCCGGCTTTTGTGATTTTGGACCTGGCAACCCTAAGGTCAAAACAGGAAGCGATCACCGAATGGTAAGAGGCACATTGAATATCAGACCCAAGCTCGAGAGATGTCGACTGATGAAGTCTACGCTCCGCCCAGCGCCCATCCAACTCCAAAACCCCGAAAGCTTTCAGCTCGAGTTGCAAAATCGTTTCGAATGCCTAGGAGACTGCGAAAATGTGGACGAATACAATGACAGGTTCGTGGAAATTGTCCAAACGACTGGGTCTAAGTTCTTTAAAACCCGTCGTTCAAAAGGAACCAAAAAGATCTCTGACCTCACCAATCAACTCATGGAAGAGAGACGGAACTTGGTTTTGCAGTCCTCTGAAGATGCTGCTCAGTATCGGCGCCTTAACAGACAGATCTCCAAGTCTTTGACTCGCGACCTACGCCAATTTAATACAGACCGTATTAAAGAGGCGATTGAGCGAAACAAGGGCTCTAAAGTGTTCGCAAGAGATCTGTCTGTTGGCCAAAGTCAACTGACCAAGCTGAAGACAGAGGATGGCAGAGCCATTTCGTCGGGGCCGGAGATATTGGAAGAGGTCGAGAAGTTCTACGGACAAATATGGTAGCGGGAGTAGACTTAATGGAAATCTATGCTTCTCCGACGACCAGTTGTATGTGGAATACTCCAGAGTATGCGCACACAATAGCCTGGTGATTTTAGCACCTGAAGGAAAAACAAAAAAACATTGTTTACAAAGAAATCTGCGGCAGGTGTAGTGTTTTAATTTTGTTTTAGAAAGATCTCAAGTATTCAAATATTTAAACATAATAATTTGTAGATTTTATATCAAAAAATATAATAATTTAACAAAATTAATTTTCTTAGAATATTTTAATTCTATTAGAACCATTTTCCACTTCATCGCAGAAGAAGTCGCGGACAAAAAGCTAGTATGAAATATGTAGTATTGCCCGCGGCTTCACCCGCTTGAAATTTAGTTTGTCACAGATCGTCATAAATTATAGCCTACTAGCTGACCCGGCGAACTTCGTACCGCCTTAGCGTAGAGATTTTCTTAATATTTTTTTCCGTAAGAACCATCCTTGGACTTCCACAAACATTTTAAAAAAAGAATTATCGAAATCGGTTCAGCCGTTCACACGTGATGCCGTGACAACGCGAAACGGGTTTCATTTTTTTATATATATAGATACATTGTTATTCTGGTTGACGCCAGGGATGGATGAGCGTCGCTGTCGCTGGCGACAGGGTCTTCTGGTTCAGGGTTCATGGCGTAGGTCTCAGTCAAAATGAAATCCACTAGTAGAAATTAATAAACTCAGTGTATTCACGAAAATGATTACACACAGCACTAGAGTCGTATCGGAACTGAGTGAACCAAAGGTCTTGCGATAGGAACGTCCGACCCGAGTGATAGTTGAACACAGACTGCCTAGTACTGCTGTACTGTACTGTAAAGTTTCATCAAAATCTGTTCAGTAGTTTTTGCGTGAAAGTGTAACAAACATCCAGACATCCACACAAACTTTCGTATTTATAATATTAGTAAGACTAGTAAAAAGTAAGATAGTAAGATGAATTATTTTAGTTATTTGTTTACTTATAATAATATTTATTTATTTATTTCTTAGCTCTGTCTGATAATGGATCTGGAGAAGATGCAATGGCCACCTCCGTAACAAAACAATAGAACCCTATGGAGTTAAGGCTTGTGTGATTCGCCTTGACGAATATTTCGTATCCAGGGTCCGATGATGGAGCTGTAAGGGGGCAGATTTTTTTTTCAACTATGTGACTGTCTTTATTTTGTACTTTATATATTTTACATATTATACCTATTCGTGTTTCATTATGAATCGAAATATAAAAGACTTAATAAACTCTATTAAAAATTTAAATTAATTTATCAAGTTTGAATACCTCATTCTACCTTAAAATTAATAACTTAAATCAAGTCTTAATACGGTCACGGCTCAAGATTTTTTTGTCCATTTCAGCGTTCTTTTTACTCTTTTGACGTTGCGTTGACAGCTTTTACCTAAATTCGCGCGGAATATTTTTGTGAAATGGCTCTTAATTTATTAGTAAAAAAAAACCTTGTTTATACGTCTCCTAACGCGTACCCCGCTACACCACCGAGCACATACGGCCGGCCGCCGCCCCGAGAGAGCGGGGGACTGACCAATCTCGCCCGCGTAATAATGCCATTTTCCTGATTTCATGGATTTATTTTCCGGCACCGGTTATTTTTTGGCACCACTGCACTGAGATGGCCGTTGGTTTACAAAACCACACCTTGTATTTAAAGATTGTTATGATTTTTTTTTATCCACAACGAGGAAGCTCTTGGCCTGTATCTCACCTAATGGTAAGTGATGATCAGGCCGAAGGTGGAAGCGAGCTTCACCCGGAATCCTCAGTTATGATAAAAAGTATCTTTGAATTGTATTATGTCAAAACAGACAGGGCAAGAACGACGAGAGAGCGCCGGAAAGCAGCGCGGTCATCAAGAGGCCCGTTATTAGCTCGGGCATCCACCTCAGGCCAAACGCCAGCACGGGTATCAACCTCACGCCAAACTCCAGCACGTCATTGTAAGTTAAACATTTTATCCTATTAACATAAACTTTGTGCTCTAATTAGTACAGTAAAAAAATATTTGAATGATGATTATTCTAAAAATATTCATAGTATGCAATTAGAATAGGTAATTATGTATATCAAGAAATAAAATTAACTAAGTCAATTTGTTCTCGTTTCAGCTGCCAGAAATGCTCCAGATGAGTCGAGGCTCTCAGTATTGAAAATTGAGGAAATGAGAGCCCAGGCTCATCTGGAGATGGCGAGAGGCTTTTCGTCGATAGCTGAAAGCTTTAAGCTCATCGCCGAAAGCATGGCCAGGATGAGTCAGCAGGTAATTTTCTTTTTATGTGGCTACATTATGTTTGAAAACTAAATGGGTACCTTATTTCCCTGTTACTAGCATACAGTTTGCAGTTGTGTGATTGACAAGGGAATTTTCAGTTTAATACAGTGGGACATAAAAGAGTAGAAATTAATTATTTCGGTACTAATAGAGTTATTCCCTAGCAACACTGGTTGAGTCAAGTGATTGGTATAAAGCAAGTGAGTGTGTGGGGTCATTGGACGAAATTCTACGTGCTCGTACGTGTAGAGTGCGTAGTGTAGTTACACTGAACTGTCCCACCAAACTCATTGACAGAGAGGCGCCCACCATCATTCAACTTTGAAGTTTCCAATACGGCAAAAGTCGGAACTAGCGATTCGGTATTGACGGTGGCGCCCCCCTGTCAATGTCACTGATGGGACGGTTTGTTGTAGGTGGACAATAAACAATAAAATATAACCTTATAATATACGAGAACCACCATGGATCATGATGATACTGTTTAACAACCCAGTGCCCCGATTGCGCTAATTTGTAATGTCTCCAATTTAATCGTGTTTCATCTCTAGTCCACACTCCATTTACGTTCTATTTTCATTCCAGCTAATGTGCAATTCGCTATCGCGGTAAAGTTCATGCGCAAACAAAGACGAAAACAACGGATTTAGGCACTTTCCATTAAAAGTACAAACACCTTATTTTTTCACTAAAACACAGCAAATGTTCGTAAAGCGAATGACTTGCGTTTGAAAAAAAGTACATTTCTGCCAGCTTTTGGCAAACGAAAGACTCATTTGCTTTCCGTTTACATTACAACTTCGTTTGAACTACCTGATTTTCTTTCGTTGTCTGTGTAAAGAATTTTCTGCGTAAAGAAGATGATGTTGATGATAAAATTATGATTTAAATAGTTCTGCGTAAAAAGGTAGAACCGTTGAAAATATTTAGCGCAACCGGGGCGCAGGAATAAAAAAATATCACGTAAATAACAATTTAATTCAATGGTTATTTTGTGATGTTTAGCAGAACTTCAAGCTGGACGGATCTTTGAACTAATCTGGAGGATTGTCCAAAGTGCAGCAGATTAAACTGGTGAGTTAGTAATGGAAGATGTTATAACATACACAAAACATAGATAACAATACTTATGCGCAATCAGCAAATTTACAAGAAACAATCAATATCTTGGAATATTTATTTTAGATGTTATGTTTATGTTGCAGTCAAAACTCATAAACGGTCAAAACCACTTGACTGCAAAAATCAGTCAAAAGTGGTTTTGACTTTATCGCGTCACTTAAAACCACTTTTGAGTGCTAAAATTTTATTTAACCGACCGAACAAATTGATAATCTACTTATCTTTAACTGATGAATACCTAGATTTTTTAAAAGTAGTAACATACATAACACTTTGTATGAATTTTGATAGATTGGTAAAATTTTAAATCAGGCGAAACCAGTTTTGACTGATTTTTGCAGTCGGGTAAATCCGCGAAACAGTAAAAAACTTATGTTCCGATCGATAAAAAAAAAACTGTTGTAGTTCTGGTAAATTAAACTTCTGAATAACGATTCATACAAGTTTCCACATAAGGCGCCATGATCCATATTGATTAAATACTTCAAGTTATTTCGATAATCAAGAAAACACGCACTAAACGTCATTACCATCACAGTAAAAATACTGACCTTTGCCGTTGTCTTTTAATTTTTTTTACTTTACCTATACACAGACCAGATTTTGATTATAAATTTAAAATGTACATATTTACCGTGACAAAATAACAAAATTATATTGAAATCGTATTAGCCAATAAAATGGAATCATGAATTGAAATATTGTCACGAGAAATCGTCATAGCCATCGCGGCAGCATCAAAGGTTCTTTAATGTGGCCGCGACGCGACTTATCCCCGCTTGTGTCCGCGCGTCCCACTCTTCAATTCGTTGCTCGTAACAGAACAGAATGCACGTAAAATTTACGCAGCTCCGAGACTTTTTAAACTCCGAAAACGAGAGACACTCGCAGTTTGTCATCGGCTCGCGTCATTCCCATTTTGTGCGATTTGGTAAGTTTTATATATCGATATTTTTCTAATAATTAGCACTTTGTAGCATGTGATTACAATAAAAAAATGGCGATATTGAGGTGTCCCAATAGTGGTGACAATTATTTTTATATAATTTTAAAATCGTTTTCGTCATTACCATTAACATCATTACCATATCATTTAGGCTTATGGTGATGACACTTTGTATATGGTAATGATGACTATGAATGGTTTGTTTTGAATCTCGCCGGGGTCCGAGTTTCTCCGGTATCCGACGCTCTGGGTCCACCTGCTCGTCGTCCGGAAGACACTCGTCCCCTTTTGCGCCAACCACCATCACGTACATGTCGTTCGTGGTCACACACGCGCGGTCAATTGCACTTTTTAATTTTAAACTTAGTATAAGAACCTTGAGAAATAAATTATTTCAGTAAAAATCTGAGCAGAGTTTCTGCTTACGATGTTGCTAGTTTGGAAGTTAAAGACGCTATGAAGAACTCCGAGCAAGCTCGCCCCCAGGTGACTAAAATGGCGGCAAACGGAAGTAAGTCAAATCAATTCCTATTAAATAATTGCGGAAATGACCTCATTTAAGGTATAAAAAGGTAAAAAACTACACCGGAAGTAGACGCATCTCTCACCAGATGCTGTGCATCGTCACATGCCGAATAATAGTAAATTTTATTAAGCTTTTATCTTTATATTACCCGTTCGCGCTAAGTTTGCCGGTCCGTGGAATGCGCGTTCCCTCCCCCAACCGCGATTAAACGCAATTAATGTGTCTTATTTTACGCAAATACACAATTTTTATCAATAATAATAAATAAAAAATATTTTAAATATAGTTTGATAAAGTTATAGACGCTTCCCTTCGAGTAACGTCATATCGCCAGCGGCAAACTTAAAGCGAACGGATAGTAACTATAGTGAATTAAACTCAGGCTCACTTTTTTAATTTGTAAACAGAAAGTGGGCTTATTTTACTCTAGTTAATTTTATTTTTGTTGTTCTAGGTGTGTCTGAAAGTACAGTGCGAAGAATAGCGAATCAAGGTTTCGAAAAATATTGAATGACACGAATGTGGGTCCTGGTTTGTTTATGTATTTTAATAAAGATTGTGATTATTGTCTTTTATAGAAGACCGTGTGGCGCTCAGACAGTTATAAAGTTATGTTATGAGTACAAGTGCAGTTTTAATGCTATAAACCTACCTACGTACCTACTACAGAAATAAAATGTCATATAATAATTATTACTAAAATAAAACCAGTCGCGCTATCAGGGTTGCTATGTGAACGACAGTGGCGCCCTCATTTATTTTCTACTCTTTTATGTAGCACTGTACTTGAAAACTGAACTCGACCAACGTGTGAAACACTGGTGTGAACAGTTTTTTGGTCGGTAGTTACTAAAGCCGATATTCTGTAATAGATTACTCGACTAGTCACTAGTGCGAACAAGGTTCGCCGAGTCTCGTTGAATCTTTTGGACTTCTTGGCGGAAATGTGAAGCGTCATGTTAGCAGTTTTGTTTTATAGTTCCAAAATACTGAACTAGAATAGTTGACAGTGGGGCGCCACCGTTAATACCGAATCGCTGGTTCCGATTTTTGCCATGTTCGAGATCATATTATAGTTGAACGATGCTGGTAGCGCCCCCCTGTCATTGAGTTTGGTGGGACAATTCAGCGTGGGTCATATATTTTCGTATTTAGACGAAATCCGTATCTGTGATAGTTTGTCAAACAAAATGAAATGTGGTCAAACAGTGCAATTTGAAAGAATTGGCCGTATGGATTTATATCCAAAGCCGTAAAACCATGAAGCTAAAGATAAAAATGGAGGGCAGAGTTGGGACAAAAACTTGAGTCAAATACCTACTTATATCTATCTCGCTCTCTGCGGCCCTACCTCTCTTTTTAGTGTGAACTGTAGTATTGCTATCTTCTGATTTAAATCTCCTTGTAAATTCTTCGAAATAGCCAATTCACCAACCAAATCAGAAGTTAAACAAATAAATAATTAATATTTGAAACTAAGATTACCTAGTTAAATAAAAAATCACAAAATTGTCGGCCATTTAGGCTTAATGTGTTGGCGAATCAGGGAATTGCAATCCCAATTCCTGGGTAAGTAATCGGTACCATGTGGCAACATCGGCCCAATCCGGCCCATCATGGCGGTTGTTTACTATTTTGTTTATTAAGCAGTTAATTTCGTTTGAGATTGTTTACAGGAAATAATCATTGTTTTATCACAAGAATTGGTGCAAAATTTTGTAGTGCGTGGTTGCGGTAGTACGTGGTGTCCTGGACATGACATAAGATTCCACGCGTAAGTGTTTATTTCGTGATTTCCGACATTGGATCATTGTAAACATTTTTCACATTTTTTACAGTAATTTCTTCCTAAAACGTTTTACCAGTAATTACACTTATCATTTTTAATGATACCTATGTCAAGAAATAAAGATTTTACATTGGTTTCATTGAATTTGAGCAATTTTATATTTTTTGTTTATTTAGAAAGAGCGAGTCTGCCCACAGAGAGCGAGATAGTGATACTTAGTTTGTGCTTCAAGTAGGTATTCGGAGTGTGGCCTCCATTTTTATCTGTAGCTTCATGCGTAAAACTTAGAGGAAAAGAAAAAAAAACAAATCAACTGAATCTGCCATCAAATTGACGTTTCTTCTTTGAGTGTGCTTTGCATTTTTTACTGTTTTTTCGTTCTTGATGCTCTTCTCGTGCATTAATTAATTTTAAAGATAGTAATTGTGTAGTAATTAATATTTGTGACTTGGTATTTCGTTTTAATGCCACCAAGAATTCAATTCATGTGTATAACTGGATTTAATATAACGATAAAATCACTATTTCCTGCATTAAAATGTAAGCATTTGCTTAGTTTATTGTTTAATTAAATCAAAAATAGCATCAAGTGTGAGATACGTACATACTTAATATGAAATTTGATACAATACCTTATCCCTAAAACCATTTGGTTTTGGATCAATAAAAGACTTTTAGCTAATGGTTATTGCAAGTGTGCCAGGCTAAGATGTTTTTTTTTGGTATGTCGTTGGTGCCAGGCAGTATTTTGGGTTCTTCATGTTCTCCACTGTGTTGTGAAGTATTGCTGCCACTGTGTTGTGAACATGTACTGGTTAAGAGTGGGAAATCCGTAATAACTTTGTGATTTTATGGCCAATTACTTTACAATCACAATCAAAATTTATCTTTATTTTATTTACCTGGACAAAGAATATATTGGTACTTGCAAAGTTTCTACTTGTATTGTTTATATGACATTTAAATGGGCAATTTTTACTGCTATCTCACATAAACTTTGAAAAAGAGGCTTACAATAGTGACTGCGTTTCTTGCTCTGCTTCTTCTCAGCACTGTCCCTTTGTTGTCCGAAACAGTAGGGTTGTCACGAAGCTGTCTACCAAAGAGCTTTTTATGAGCCTCCTTGCAAAATATATTTGAACTTGAATTTTTAATCCTATCGTAATGGAATCATATTCATTGTTTTAGAAGAAAATGAGTACTGCGGAATGCCGCGCTTGTCTACTGCAAGTGCAGACTGGCGAGTTGCACAATTTATTCCACGCCTGGAACTCGTCATGGGCAGGCATGAAGAGTACAATCGCCGAAGACTTGTCACTATTAACTGAAGTACAGGTAATCACAAAATTAATTGAATGAGGGTTTTTGCGAATGAAAGATCCACTAGATGGCGGGACGTGGATGTGGGGTCTGACTGCTGCGTGATTGGTGGATTTTGTCATATCTGTCAATGTCATGTCAAAAATAACCAATCATGCAGCATTTGGACCTCGCGTCTACGTATTGCCATCTGGCGGACTTTTCATTCGCGAAAACCCTCATTTTTTCAAAACATTATTGCTATGAAATAATGATCTCATATTGGGAAGTTAATGTTCTTCACAATGCAAATTAAAACATTTCCCTTTTTTCCCACTGTTATTTAATTTTTTCTTAAAAGTTGTCCCTCCAATAAGAAATAAATAAATACCAGCAACACCATTAAAACAATTTCTACTTTACCATCTATTTACATGTTTCCACCACTTTCAAGTGAATTAAATTATTTGATTTGTTTTCATCACGGTTTTTTTATGCTCAGTGGTAGATAAATGTATAGTAAATAATCGATATTATTTTTACAGTTTACAGAAACAGACAAACATTCCAAAGTCATATGTACATCGTGCTGTGAAAATTTGATGAAGGCTTGTAAATTTAAATTGCTGGTGCAAGAGAATGACAAAATGTTAAGACAAAGGTGTCCTGAAACGGAAAATCAATCAACGGATAAAGTATGGCCACAACCGATACAAGTAGACAAGAGCATCACCGGCGTATACAGTGAGCCTTTGCAAGTTGAAATAAAGCAAGAAGTGTTGACGGATGACGAGAATATGACAAATGGAGATGAAGGGTACAGCAATGTTGACTGCCTTGACATGATTAAGATAGAACCCGAGGAAATTGCAGCGCCAGTCACAAACGGTAAGTGTTTTCTTTTATATTATTATACCTCTACTTTTCCTATTATTCAGTGTTCTATTATTATTAGTTAATTTAACTTTAAAATTAGTTAATTACAATAATTTTACTCTGTCATTACAAAAAAAGACATTATAAAAAATATATTATTATTAACTACTCTCCTTTTTGGATTATTTTAAAATTGATTAATTACTATTTTGATGCGAAAATTTCTCATATTCAAATTTCTCATGTTACTTGTTACAGCACCATCATCGTTCCGGGTAACAGACATGAATGGACAAGAATGTCTGGAAGAAGAGGTAAGTTGCTAAAAATACTGTTGTTTCCTTACACATTTTTAGCTTGGAGGCAGCTGCAGCATTCTTTGTTATGATTTCACAGGTTTTTAAATTTTTTTTATGCTAAAAATATTATTATACTATTTCAAAGGTGTTACAGGTAAAAAAACATTTATGAAAAACAAAAATCGCCAAAATACATATAAGTAAGGTCAAAACTGAAATTCAAATACTATTTATTTGCACAATTTTTTGAATAACCATTTAATTTTGATGAAAATTGTTCAAATAATTTATAAAATTTATTTACAAAAACAAACTGATTCGAGGTTATTTGAGCTTGTGTTTGAGTCATGGCTTCAAATTGTCACAACCATGAAATGTTTGCTACTATGGTCGTGACCATTAGCCACGGTTGTGACAGTATAAATGTTAATGGGGATTTTTAACAATAAAATGCTGAACTTGTTAAACAAAACTGACTTCAAGTTTTCGTCATAATAACTAATTATGTATGAATAGTTAAAGGTATTAATATTTGGGTACTTGCATTAAAATTTCTTAAGAATAACCATCTAACCATCCAGACCCTCCTCTAGGCAAAGTAAATGTAATGTATTTGATATTATTTTTATCAGATGCCTCATAAGAAGGCGGTTTCTAAGGAAGAAAAAAGAAAAAGAAAGAAAGAAGCCGAAAGATTACGACGACAGCGCATCAAAGCGGATCCTGAGATGTACGAAGCTGCAAAATTGAAAGAAAAACAACGTCGGAAAAAGCGAAAAGCGGAGAACAGAATAAAAACTATTCATGATTTAACGCCTCAACAGAAACGTGCTCAGCGAAAGGCGTGGAAAGAATGTACAAGGAGACATAGAATGAAAAAACAATTAGAAAACGTGAATAGCGATAATACTCTTCCAAAGAAAGTCGAATCTACAAGGACAGATGATAAAATAGGCAACAAATCAAAATGCATCACAAAAGACGCACGATAGTACAAGGAGAACTTCGAAATGACGACATAGACCAAAACGAATCATGATTGTTGTTATTACAAGAAGTTTTAATGCAAGTGTATACTTAAGTTTTAATTCAAGTGCAATCTTTTAACTATAACTATAACATAATTGTGTATATTTTTTCTTTTTCTTTTCTTCTCTTGTGTCTATAAATTATTAATAAGACGAAAACTTGATGTCAGATATTCTTAACGCATATATTGTTAATATAAAAGAACTAAAATCAGAATAATAACATAATAGAAGATATTTCAGCTTTTTATTATTATACTAATATTTCCATGACATAATTTAAAAAAAACTGTCACAGCTCCTAAATAATCACCTAAGTGATTTTGAGTACACTCTCTGTATAAATAGTGCCAATAGAACTTATTATTATTATTAGAAAACGATTTTCCTTTTATTTTGAAATGCGTTCTCAGGCTCTTGAAAATCAGCGTACGCGCAGTAAGCCGAAATGAATTTCATCCCTGTTTTAGTATAATAATGTGGCCAGTCCTGCAGGGCTACTACGAAACGCTGTCTAAGTAGTTTCGGGTCACCGTCATACTGGCATCTCGATTTGCGTGAGAGGGATGGCAACAATCGAAACTTCGGATAACGTTTTTCGGAGTAACCCCGCTTAGAAGAAGAATACGCGTACTGAGAAAGTTTAGAGTCGGTGTTCAGCAGTAAATAATCCAGAATCCGTGCCCACCCCTGAAAATCTTAGAATTAGAAAAATAAATCTAAATGCTTATGACACTAACCATACTTATGGTGCAAACTGGGCATAAGTCCTTTGCAAATTAGAACCAGACAGAATCCGCTCGGTTCGCACGTGTCTGCTGAACCAGGCCTTAGGCATTCGGTGCCAATGCGTTAAATAAGAATGGGACCAGCTTAAACAACCTGTTTATAAGGCTACCGTATTTGCGCTCACTATTTGGCGCCACTAGCGAGTGACAGGATCTTAACAGTGGCGCCAACTCGTGAGAAAACTGTATTATCTTCTTCTCTTCTCACACGCGTAGGTAGCAATAGCAACGTAGTGTAAATCTGAGTAGAAAGTTGTTTTTATGTAATTGACGTTGCGCATTGTTGCAAAAAGAAACTGTACTGTGCATTTACCTGTTATTGAATTGTTACAGCTTTATCAATAACATGCATAATTGACATATACTTTTTCTTTTTGCACAATCAGGATGAACCTTCGGTGGACAAAACGGATCGGCCGGTCCAAGACAAAGTTTCAAGTGCTGATGCGTCTAAGAAAACTGACGGCGTTACGAAGGCAGCTGCGCCACTGACACACGCTGATGTGATGGTAGCAGTAGCAGAAGCACTGTCAAAACCTGTAGAGGTACGTAAAGAGGCACAAAGAGTAACGCCTGAAGTATATCCCTACGAGGTCGATCTGACAGTATCTCCAAACTCTCCTGCGCCTAACGATACACACTCTGACAATGCCATCAGAAATACGGCTAACAATCCAGGCCCTATAGTTGGAACAGAATCAAATGCGTCATCAGTTACTCATGTGCAGGAATCAACACAAAATATTGATGGGCAAAATAACACAGAAAAACAAACATCCGTTGATCGCACGAGTGGAGATATATCGAACGATGCGGCATGCGAAAAAAGAAACGAAACGATATTAATTGAATTAGAGCCAGTATTAACTTGTTCCGATTCCGATGTTGAAGTTATACCCTCGACGGTGACATCTCATTCTGGACGGATAACAGAAACCAATACGAATGACTCATCAGTACCTACCCGTTCAAAAGTAAACACAGAGGTACCATTATTAACTGATCAAAGAGGAGTTGAAACTCTAATACAGCGAGTGATAGATGAGAATGTTAAGGAACTAAAATCACATCTTAAGGACGAAGAATCACAATTACTTTCGCCAAAATCAGAGCCCTCAGATGCCAATGACAATTTTGAATTTGAAATGATTTCATCAAACAAAGAACCGTCATTCGAAAAACTTAAAGCAAAAGCTGTACCGAAACTGACATCAGAGTCCCAAAAAATATTTGCTGAGAACACAAACTATGGGTTATCCCAAAAATTAGATAGCTTATCGGAGACAGTAGCAACGGTGATAGAAAATCAAAAATCCTTAGCGGACACACAAGAGAAAATACTAGCACACGTCATGGGGATGAGTTCACAATTCGAGCAGTTCATGAAACAGTCGCAAATGCAAACTTCGCACCTTAAAACCAGTACACGCTTGGATCCATTCATTAATCGTAGGACAAGTAATATTATACCGCTACAACCAATGCAAGTTTTTGAACAATTCAAGCCCATCAGTAATCAAGAGGAGATGGCGGCTTTCGAGGATTCCTTGAAAGATGAAGCGTTTGGCGCTGAACTTCGGAGTAAGTTGCTACCCTTATGTGCTTCGGGGAAAGGGAAGGCCATAAGCAACGCTTACGTGTACCTGGATGTGTTGTTCGAAAGAAAATTCCTCACTCGATGTTCATGGAGCGGTGGTTCACGCGATGACAACACAAAGCTGTGCTTCAAATTTTACAAGCGCACTATAATCTTCTTCTTCTCTCTGGTTTATACGACTGATCAAACGTTCACTTTCGCAGAGTGCGAGGAATTTATTAAGCGGGTTTTAAGGAATTCCAACAAACGGGAAGCTGCTAAAATGATGAGAGCTTCCACATCTAGACGCAGAGGCAAGAGGCGTAAGAAAGTGGAGGAGTGTGACTCCGACGATATATCGCAAGAGATAGATGAAACCCAGTTCCTGAATACTTTGATCACGGCTTCGGGCTACGAGGAGACTGTGCGGGAGGATGTGACTTAATTTAGTATTAAATCCTATATTCCATGAAAATTGAGGTGTAAGACAATCATGTATGTTAAATTTCTATGTTCTATAATATTAGAATTTTTATTATTATTATTAGAATACTCAAGTATTAGTCTTTAAATAAAGTCCATTTAAAAAAATATGTATTTATAAAAGTGATTTTATTATTTACTAGCTTTTTCCCGCGGCTTCACTTGGATGAAATTTAGTTTGTCACATATCGTCATAAATTATGTTATTCTGGGTTATAATACTGTAGTTTCATCAAAATCCAATCAGTAGATTTTGCGTGAAAGAGTAAAAAACAACCAGAGATCCACACAAACTTTCGCATTTTATAATATTATAATATTAGTAGGATTAGTAGGATAGTTTAAAAATTTTACTATACTATTAACATTTTTAAGCGTGATTTTATTATTTTAATTTTCTTACGACTGTTTAGTAATAGTAAAAGTTTATGTTAAATTATTATAAATGTACAATTAAGTATATAATCCCTAAAAAGGTGATATTTATAAATATAATGGTGGACTCTGGTGATGATTATTAATCTACCACAATGTATACTGTTTAGTAGTTTCTATGCAAACATCAATGTCAGTAGCTAATCTTGCTAATTTTATAATAATGATAATTGTGATTCAATACCTATTAAATAATGAAAAATATCTTATTGTTTGAGATTTACATGTCTTGTAAAAATATTTGCCTGCCTGCACTACGTCTTCAAGCCCGTGGTCGCCACTCGAGAACTTTACACTGCCCCAGCGGCCATCAGCTCTACGAGCTATGTGCCCCGCCCACTAAAAATCGAATTGCCTAAAGTTCGTGGGTTCGATTCCCACCTTAGGCCCAGAACAGACGGTGAAACGCAACTGCAACGAAACTGCAACTGCTAGTTACTTTTAAGTTGCATCTAAGTTTCTGCCATAGTGTCCGTTGAGAGACCACACATGACGCGACCAGTTTGAAACTTTCAGTTTCATTCATCAGAATCAGAAAGTTGCAGTTTCGTTTCACCGTCTGTTCTGGGCCTTACACGATTCCTCAGTTGTTGGCAGAAGACTGTTGTCTTTTTTTTTAAATCCACAACGAGGAAGCTCTTGGCCTGTATCTCACCTGATGGTAAGTGATGATCAGGCCGAAGGTGGAAGCGAGCTTCACTCGGAATCCTCAACCACGGAGGAACTGGCTATCTTACCTCTAACTGTCGGAACACAACAATGCTGTTAACATTGTTGTTATGGCGACAGACTTAGATAAGATGGTGGTAGCTAGCCAGGCGGACTTAGAACAAGCCCTACCACCAACCAAACCGAACAGAAAAATCTGCCCCCACTGGGAATCGAACCCGGGACCTCTGCGTCTGAAGCAGGTGGACTAACCACTAGACCACAGAGGCGGTTGACTATTCTAACGTTGTGCCCTCAGTTCCTCCAGAGTGTAAAAGATGAGCCGCTGAGCGAGCCCGAAGACGCCGAGTCAGCTGCCGACCTGCCGATGGACTGTCTGCTCTGCGCCCGATCCTTCAACAGCGTCTCGGGACTTAAGGTGAATACTGGACACGTAAAGACTTCATTTCAAGCTGTTCTGAATAAAAAAAATTACAAAGTACAGGTGTGCACTAGGTATCTAACTTCAAAGGACAATGTTCGTTCTCCATACATTGTTCGCCTAAAGAACCAACAATTTTGACATATTACTACCCGAAAGCGAAATAATACGATTCTGTGTGTAAGAACAATGATTCCTGATGGACACTTGCCATAAAATTAATGATTAAGAATATTAAATCACAGCGATTTTATAATATGTCGTTTATGACAACATGGCGTCTAATGTATTGTGTGAATGTATGAACACCGATTCGCGAAAAATGTTTTGTATTGTCGTCACGCCGAGTCGCAGCCAAATAGTATAAAATAATAGAACAAGTTTTAGAAATACAACTCTTATGGTCCTAATTATTTTTATTTTATTTACGACCTTCGACCAGTTGGACACTTTAGATATCTTCTTGTAATAGTGTCAAACTGTCAATATCTTTTTAGCTTTTAACGCAAATCTAGTCTTCAAAGCAGTTTAATCGATTTATTTTATTTTCAAAATCGATATTTTATTGTCTATGATGGCCGCAGGAACATCACTATACATGGACTCCCAGCAATAAAGTACGGTAATGCCTCGTACAGATTTTATCGGCAAAAATTATGGAACTTGATAGGTTTTAGACCATGCCACGCACCAAAACGTCCGGAAGTTGTAATAGTATTATAGAATAAACGTTAAAAGACTTATTTATTTAATTTTTCAATGCTTAAGTGTCCATTAGAATGAAAGGGTGCTTAATGTATTAAAAAAAATAGAAAATAATTATGATGGGTTAATGTTTTTGGGCGGTTTTTTAGGCGGTTTCTGACAATGTCCTTTCGTGAACAAATGCTCACGTAAATTAATTAGGTTAATTTTATTTTTTCTTCCTGTAGAGACAAGAGATTGTCTATTACATAACGTTTGTGGTCCTTGCAGCAAGTATCTTGCTTTCTCTCAATTGACTAAATGAGCAATCGGAAGTCGTATAAAATACGACCTACCCACACTACCCAGTACGTCTTCATGGCTATAATTTTTTTCTTAGTAGTGGATCCTAATTTACTGTAACTACTGGTGATCTGGTATGTATTTTACAGATTAAACATGCATTTCTTCAACAAATATAAACTTTCCACATAATATGCTATTGTTTTTATGAAAGACTAGCTTTCCGCCCGCAACTTCGCGTACGTGGACTACATTATCTACATATTTACTGAACCCTATTATTTTCCAAAATAAAATTTAGCCTATGTTACTCGTGGATAATGTAGCTTTCGAATGGTCAAAGAATTTTTAAAAACGGTCCATTAGTTTTTGAGCCTATTCATTACAAACAAACAAAGTTTTCCTCTTTATAATATTAGTGTAGATTATCTAGCAAGTTCAAGTAACAGAACTGACGAGCATCCCCCCACACTCAAAAACTATTTCACATAAACGTGTCAATTATGTTTTCCAGGCTCATGTGATTGCTCAGCACTCATATCAAACGGTAGAGAGGCGAGCGGGAGACGCCTCGCCGCACCAGACACAGAACAACAGATACGTCTGCGTGACGTGTCGGAGAAGTGAGTGTCATTTTCAATTACTAAAATAGTCTCTTCAAATTCCGGCGATTTCATGTTTTATAGATAAAATTTTCACAAGCTCTAGTTAGACTTTAGATAGGTACTTATTATGTGATGATTGCCTGTCATTTAGCCACGTTTTCTTATCATCATCATCAGGGAGTTGGCTTACACTCAGTGGCGTGACTATACCATCCGAGGCCCGTGACAAATTCTGTGCATGGGGTCCTTGGCAAATGACCTGTACTATAATCCCTTACAAAGGACGTAGCACACTTATCAACCTGGAAAGAGATCGTAACCGTAATAATTCGAGGCGGTCAGTATTCTTTGTATGAAACTCCATACTGCAACGCACACTTATCCGCACACGTAAACGCCTCGCCTCACGGTTGACAGCGTGCGAAAGACGATGACAGTTCGCAAAAGGCGATACGGTGTTGCTCCCTTTCCGAATTGAAAGTCTGCTATGATCTTTACAAAGATGTACAAATGAATTATCATTTCCAGCGTTCGTCACATCGACGGACTTAATGGTGCACGAGACGTGCCACAACAAGCACATCTGCTACGGCTGCAGCGAGCAGTTCGACTCCTTCGAGCAGCTGGCCAACCACCGCCGCCGCTGCAAAGCGCTGTCCGGCCAGGGCGTGACGCGGCTGAAAACGCTGGAGGACGTCAAAAGGTATTTGATTTAAGGGGATTTGACTAACGATATGAGATTGCAAAATATCGCCGCTGCTGTAAGGTGCTGTCTGGCCAGGGCGTGATGCGGCTGAAAACGCTCGAGGACGTCAAAAGGTATTAAGGGGATAAATTTGACTAACGATAGGTGATTGCAAAATATCGACGCCGCTGTAAGGCGCTGTCCGGCCAGGGCGTGACGCGGCTGAAAACGCTGGAGGATGTCAAAAGGTTCGTTCGTTTCAGCCAAATTACGTCCACTGCTGGACAAAGGATTTCCATAACAACCGGTCCTGCGTTGCCCGCATCTGAGCTCTTCTCGCGACCTTCACCAGATCGTCGGTCCACCTAGTGGGGGGCCTGCCCACGCTACGTTTTTCGGCCCGTGGTTGCCTCGAGAATTTTTCTACCCCAACGGCCATAATTTCTACGATATATGTCCCGCCCACTGCCACTTGATTTTAGCAATTCCGCTGGCTATATTGGCCACTTTGGTTTGCCTGCGTCAAAAGGTATCACCGTTATTTGACCAACGGTAGATGACTGCAAAATATTTAACCACTCATTTAAGAAAGCTCTTGGCAAGTTTATGAACAACTTGGCAGGACAATGAAGGTTTCTGATTATTGCCACCAGATGGCGCCACTTTCGTTGTCAAATCAAATCATTTATTTGCATTATTCATTTATGCAAGTGTCAGGACCTTAGCAGTTTTTTAAAACTATTCCCACAGTGTGAGTAGTGAATAGGCATCATCTGGGCAAGCCCGCTCCACTGTAGACCGCAGATGCACCCGTCCGATACGATTTTTATCATAAGCAAGCCTATACTAAAGCCCGGTCCATGAGCACGTAGAATTTTGTCCAATGACCCCTAGCTACCCATCCTTATCGCTCGCGCGTAATTACATTGCTGTCGCGACTGTGCGACTGGCACCCGCAGTGAGTGTGCAAACGCGATAGCAACATAATTACGCGCGAGCGATAAGGATGGGAAGCTTGGGGTCATTGGTCAAAATTCTACGTGCTCAGGGACCAGACTATACATTAAATTTATCTAAAATCTAAAGGGATTGCATTACAATATCAACTTTCTGTTTATTCTGAACAAAGTAATCTTGCTGTTATTTATTTAAATATGTAATAATATTGTATTTTTTTCAGGCCACAAGAAAACACCTTAGTGACTGAACTAAAAATAGAAATCAATAGCGTAACAACGTTAGCGGAAAATGCAGAAACGTTAACATGCCCTCAATGCAACGAAGAGTTCAGCGACCCATACTACATGAAGATACACCAAGAGGTTCACCATGTGAAGCAAGAGGTCATGGAAATGAATAACGGCTCTGCCCCCATGGAAATAGAGGCGTTGGAAAGTATATTTAATGAGGAAACGTAGCGTTGGGCTGTATGATCCCTGTGTGGTTTATGTTTATGATTTTTGTGCTGATTATGTTCGGCCAAACCAACGCGTGTAGCCTGCTTGTGTGGCGATCAGACGTCGTGTATGAATTTGTAGCAATGAGTTCAAATGTGTTCTGTCTACACGCGGCGTTCGGCGATCAGTGGGTCTAGACAAAGTGCACAATAAAATCGCAAACCAGTCGAAAAGGCCAGAGGCCTTGCTTTGTATGGAGTTTTGATGGATTCGATTTTCGATTCGATCAAAAAGTACAACTTTGGGTCTAGACAAAGTGCACATTTTAATCGCAAACCAGTCGAAAAGTGGTTGAAAAGCCTTTTTTTGTATGGAGTTTTGACGGATTCGATTTTCGATTCGATCAAAAAGTGCACTTTGTCTAGACCCACTTGTCTAACTTATTATTTTGACGTTTCTGATTTTAAAATGGCGGAAAATTTTCATGGTAAACGTCTGAAACGCGAACGCAGAAGTGTGAAATACTTTTGCACGCGCAGCGATTGCCATCGCGCACGCAGATGGAACGCGTTGGTTTGGCCGAAGCTTTAATATGGAGTTCAGGTCTTTATGACCTTAGAAGCCAAAAATAGACTTTTAGAAAGTGAAAGTGGTAAATTTTTATGAATTTCATCGATAAGCAATTGAATACGTGGTTTATTAAAAATTATAAAAGTACTTATAAGTTAGGTAATCGAATAGAATGAATTTTTAAATGTCTCCGTTGTTACATGTAAGATTTTTAAGGTTGTATTTATTAGAAAAAAAAATTTAGGTGGGCGTTTTGAAGAAATCCGGAAAAATTCATCACACAGTAGATTTTTTGTTTTATGAAAAATTCAAATCCGATAATGTAAAAATAGTCAGTAAAATCGGTTTCTACAAGGAATACCCAGCCGATTTGTAAGAATAGCCACAATACAAAGTGTATGAATTTACTATTCGTCCGGAACATAACTGGCAAGCAAGGGCGGCTCTTACAGTCTAAAACCAGGGCCCCAATTGCGCTAATTCAAATTCAAATTCAAAATATTTATTGCTTACTAAGTGACAATTTGTAATGTCTCCAATTCATTCGCGTTTCATCTCTAGTCCACACTCCATTTACATTCCAGCTGATGGGCAATTCGGTATCGCGGTGAAGTTCACGTGCAAACAAAGACGATACAACGGATTTAAGCACTTTCCATTAAAAGTCCGAACACTTTTTCACTAAAACAGCAAATGTTCGTGAAGCGTTTGACTTGCGTTTGATAAAAAGTAGCTTTCTGTCAGCTTTTACACAAAGACGCAGTTGTGTTCCGTTTACGTTACAACTTCGTTTGAACTCGCTGTGAAAGCGACACCGCGATGCGAATTTGTGCAAACAGCAGAGTGTCGTTAGTCGTCCAGTCGCGTTGCAGTTGAAAATATTTAGCGCAATCGGGGCGCAGGACTGATACTAGATACAAATACAAACGCAATAGAAGAAATGGTGCTACAATGTTATCGCTTGTAGATTTTACGGCTTATTCCCACTACTCTTACCATGAATTACTACTAGCAGGAAATCTCATACCTGAATGACAAAATTGGATGATAAATTAAGAAAAGTCACAGCATACTTATAAGTAGGTAATAATATGGCATGATTAGTATTTATAAGCCGAGTTTTCAATAGAAGTTACGTACATGTATAATAATACGCCCGTATTATAAGATGATGCTCAATGCTCGACCAAACGAGCATCGTATCAAGCATGTGATTTTAAAATCGATAACTTCAAGCTAGTCTCTTGGATCGAGAATTAAGCGTCATTTTAAAATACAAAACTTCGGAATTGAGATTTTGGGCTTGAGCGTGTTCATTTTCTGATCGAGTACGAACTTTTAATATTCACCTTTTCAGCGCCACTGTCTTCTATAGAAGACAAGTTTCCGTGCCATGTTTTCTATAAAAGACATTTTTTTTTTATTACTTTTCCAGGCGCCAAGCTAGGGCGCTGGGCACACCGATTTTGATATGGGTTGCGACTAATATGTTAAATTCTTCCTTGAGCAGAAGATGAGTACGCTCAAGCTAAAATCTCATAGTTGTTATCCAACTCAATCATGTTATCACTGCTATTACAATATTACACCAATATTTATAAGTAGATACGTATTTTTTCATCCCAATGTAGTCGACAGCATAATCAGAATATATACCTATTTTTATAGCAAAATAGTACGGCTTACAACCACGTAAGTGCCAGTTTAGCTTGAATCCGTACTTTGACTAATTAGAAAATTGTACATCAAAATACTTAAGGCTTGTGTTGAACAAATATGTTCGTTGTATATTGCAGACTTCCTTGTAAATATCTTAAATTTTTTAGGTAAATATTGAAACTATTGTGATCTATGTAAAAAGTCTAGTGCGAGATTATTAAACTGTTGCCTGATGCAAATGGTTTATTTATTTTGTAACTTTCCCCGCAAAATGTATACTCGAGTATGAATTTACACGGAACAATAACTATAGGTCAATCAGCGTTGCCAGACGTCCCGATTTTGGCGGGACGTCCCGATTTTTAAATCAAATTTAAATGTGAGCGCGGGACAGGCTCGGTCCCGCTTTTCGGAGAGAGACACTCACTTCACCAGACTATTGTTTGAAACGCCATATTATCACATAATAATAACAAGTATATTTATTTATTTATTAAGGTACAGCAACAGATTGCAAATCATGGCTTAAAAATAAAGTACATTGAACAAAGATTAACATATATTATTCTAAAGATTTTTTTTAATTTCGATTTTTCTTTTTTTATTCTAAAGACGAATTTAACGATAGAGTAAATCTGATTTAAAATATTATTTTTTTGTTAAAATACATTTTCTATGGCTACTTTTGCTATCTATTGTCACGTAAACGTAATTTTAAGTCAAATAAAAAGATAAATATTTGAAAACCTTTGATTATTACCTTTTTTTACTATGTCCCGCTTCTGACGGAAGAATCCCGCTATTTTCACTTAAAAAGTACCAAAGTCCCGACTTGGCGAAAAAAAAAAAAACTGGCAACGCTGTAGGTCATAGATATGGTGCTTAACTGAGTCAATGCCGAAGGTATGGGAGCGGCACGGGAGGGGTGACATTGTCTGTCATGACGTGACAGAGCATACAAATCTGTGGGTCTAGACAAAGTGAAAATTATAATCGCAAATCAGTCGAAGTGGTCGAAAAGCCATTTTGTATGGAGTTTTGACGGATTCGATTTTCGATTCGATCAAAATGTGCGTTTTGTCTAGGGGGGCTGAAGCATACAGGGTGGAAACGATAAGTGATCTCATTCGATTATTTCTAAACTATACAAGATATCGAAAAACTGATTACTGATCCTGAAAGTGCTTCACGAGCTCTTTCAAACGATATCAGTAATAGGTTACAGAATTAACTGGATCTAACCGAAAATTCAATGTTTTCAGCCTCCATACTAAATGTTTGTCACTATGCCAGCCACACAATATTAGAATTGTTATTTTTTTTATTTTAAATCATAAACACTTAAAATTAACTCGTAAATTGCATTCTTATTTAAAACAATTCATGGAAAACATTGGTTTTAGGCTTTACTTGCTATAATATTATCAAGACATGAGTGCCATGACTGTGGCAGTAGTAAATGTATGGAAGCTGGAAACATTGAATTTTCGGATAGATTCAGTTTATTTTATAACTTAATATTGGTACCGTTGGATAGAGCTCGTGAAGCACTTATAGGATCAGTAACCAGTTTTTGGATATCTTGTTTAGTTTTTAATATTATGTGGTTTTACTAAATGTATGGAGGCTGGAAACATTGAATTTTCAGATAGATCCAATTTATTTTGTAACCTATTATTGGTACCGTTGGATAGAGCTCGTGAAGCACTTTCAGGATCAGTAACCAGTTTTTGGATATCTTGTATAGTTTAGAAATAATCGAGTGAGATCACTTATCGTTTCCACCCTGTATATATGACCCACGCTGAACTGTCCCACCAAACTCAATGACAGGGGGGCGCTACCATCGTTCAACTATATGGTTTCCAACATGGCAAAAATCGGAACCAGCGATCCGGTATTGACGGTGGCGCCCCGCTGTCAATGTCGTGGATCGGACAGTTCAGTATTTTGGAACTATACCTCAGGCGCTGAGATGTGCTAGGTCTATACAATATTATCAACTTTCTAGGTAGGTGTAAAACAGATTAATCAAACAGATTCAAATAAAATAAAGATTTTATTTATATTATCCAACAACACGCGGTTACAGTACACATTTATTTTTGTGCTAATATTCATGAGAAATACACTATTCTATTCAAGACGTGTGACACATTAATTACCACGCTTATTTTACAAAAGTATGTTTTGAAATATGTATATTTAACAAAATAATACTCATGAATACTTGGAGCGTTAACTCGTTGTCTATCTTACTTGGTCTACTAAAAAGCTGCAATTTTATTGTTTAAAGATATTAACCATTTGACAGTCCTAAATCCCCTTTGAGTGGGTTACAACAAGTTACAATTGTTTTGCTGTAGTCTTGTGATAAACATATGAACATCAGCAAAACAAGTGAATATGGTGTCGCAAAACAAAAGGGGGGTAAAAAGGAATTTCCTTCGACCAAGCGAAATAGGCAACGGGTTAACACAATATATTTGTAAGGACCGTCATAAAATTCAACAAAAATAAACATTTCACAGCCGTCCCAGTCACATAAAATTACAATACATAATATTAACAATTTTAAATGCATTTTGCATACATTTTGTTGTTTTAGGGAAAAAATTAGGGCTTCTACTTATGTCGAGATCATGCTGAATCTGTATGGAACACGAATCGTGTTAATATGAAATTTTAAATAAATTCTTCACTAGATTTTATAGATATATGTAATTTTACTTGTATTTTATACCTCTTCAGGTGTGAATTTATACACATAAAATATATTGTTTATAATATGCAGGTACAAACGGACTCTATAGTCTATCCAATATAGCTTGATTATAATGACAGCTGCCATCAAAAGTAACGACATAACTTTGTAGTAGCGATCAATAAGAGCTAAATATTGGCGGACAAGAAATAATTCACGTCTGACCTACAAACAATATTTTCGACGACAGTGCTTCCAATAAAAATGTGAATTTCGTGTAAATGCAGCGTTAAATTACACCAATAAGTAGTAATTCGAAATTATTAAAATCAAGCTAGAGTATTAACGACGTCTCTACAAGGTTATCTCGAGTTACAAAAATGTTAGTGATGGGACATATCGACAAATGTCATATTAAATTAAAACTATTTTTTTAACATATTTAACTAATTTTTTTCTAACTAATTTTTTAACATATTTAAGTCAAGTTATACGTTTTTCTAAATATTCACTATTAAAAACCAAAAAACATTTCATTATTAAATAATCAAACATTGTAAATCAATCACCGGTATTTTTTTGGGTATTCATAGCACCGTTGCTCTAGAAGAGATGCCCACCGCCCTCTAGCGAGAGGAAAAAACCACTGAAGAACACTGATGATAATGACTACGACTTAGGTTGTACACCCTTGACATGAATTTTAAATTTTACTGTCTTTAAATTTAAATTATAATTGTCATTTTTATGAATAAAGATATGAAGAAAAATTGGGTGCATTTTTATATCATTTTTTCGAAAACTTATCGATACATCTATGTGAACCGTACGAAACATACCCAGCACTAGTTACATTCGTTTGATAGCTGTCATTCTAATCAAGCTATATTGGATAGACCACAGATATGGATAGATGCAGCATGTGTCAAAAATTGTATGAAGCCGAGCGTGCCACTTTTTAAACGTCATTAGTGTCATTTTAGCGAATTTTAGTGATTGCCGCAACGTAAAAGTAATCGTATCATCGTACTGCATTCGCAAAGTCATCGAAAGATATCGTGTGGCTCGATTCGAAAATTAATTAATTCCGATAAAACTGATAATTTGTTAAATACAAAACCAAAAACATCTTTATTTACCTTTTTAAAATAAAGTAATTCTTACAAATCGTCAAATCTCGTTATTTTTTTTACCCTACCAGCGTTTCCAGACATTTTGTCAAGTGCATGAATACATGGATCAGTGTGTATCTTATTGTTTTGAGTAAGTACGGTTCCTTGGGATCGGTATGAGTGCACCACATACAGGGACCATGGTTTTAACACTTAAGAGTACATCGCAGGATAATAATATGTATTAAAAACAATGCTACTTTATACTTCTTCTACTGCTACTTTATTCTAATTAATTATTTGCTACTTGTGCTGTTAATTACAATTCTCAATCCGTAAATAATATCTTCTTTCTACCGTGTTCTCGTAAAATCATCGTAACCGATTGTTGTAATCGGATTACATGAACATCACTCGACCATGTATGTCCATTTGGACATATCGGAATGGCACGCTTTGACGATCAACTTGCTGTATCTACTCTAATCCATATCTGTGGGATAGACTATAAAACTGCAAGATGGAACTGCAGTTTATACACGAGATTGTGCAATTTTGTACCTTACTTCATTGAAATTAAAGTTATTTACAAAGTCGATTCAAAATTAATCTAATCGTCAGTACTTATATTTTGTGGGAGCGGCATACATAATAATAATACTCATAGTGTGATCTATCAAACATATAGGACAGAACATTCACTAAGGCGTGCCGAATGCAAACTCTAAGGAATATTGCCCATTGAGTGATTTGTGGCAGTCACTAGATATTATTTCTCATACTAGTTCGTAGATGCAAAAAAGGTCCCACTAAATTTTGAATCTTGTCTTAAGGTCCTTACCCAATGAAATTTATTAACTGGCCATGCCTCTTAATAGTCAATTTAAAAACAAAATGGAATGGTGATACGTTACTCCCAAACGGGGTCCTAAAAAGAAAAATGTCGACTGGTTTTTAACTTGCGACTGCCACAACAAGGGCATATCTCACACACATTTAATTCCTATTTAATTCGTTCAGTATACGCAGAATGTACAGGAACAGATTCAAGATATCCATATACAAGTTGATTGTGGCTAAGATGTATTCTTCTGGGGAGAGTTGGGTCATCATCTGCTGTGTGTCGAAGATCAGGAAAAGACTGAAAAGGACTGCTCCGGTTAAGGACAGAGCGATCTCGAAGAGGGAGCTTTGGATGAATATCTGCAGGATACCGCCCACGATTAGTACGCAGAGGCCGGCGACGAGTCTGGAAAAAACATCATCTTATTATCCACTGCAGGCAGGAGTTATCATCATTATGTCTTTCTTTTGGTCTCCATTACAGGAGTACATAATTCTAATTTACAGTCTACAGTCCCCACACTGACAAGACAGATTGGGGAGAATGTTTGCAAGTTTCTCCCTTCGTCGCTTCTTGCGGTATCCACGGGAAGAGGGGGGTCGTATTCTAGTCCGCCGGAACCACACATAATAACGATTGCATGGTTGACACCGTAAACCAATAATTCTAGGGCACTAATTCTCAAAAAGATTACATTATTCTATTGCTGTAAACCCCAATTATTTTTCAATTAACCGTAAAATATGATTTTAGTTTTGAAATCCTTAATAAGTTTAGGAAAAAAATTGACGTCACAGCTTCTTCAATCCGAATCCTTGCCTTCGCTTCCCCATATTAGCAACGTGGTAAAAGCCTATTTAATAGAAATAGTACACACCTAACAAAACATCTACACCTAATATTAGACTGCCCGGTCTGTGAGCACGTAGAATTTTGTCCAATGACCCCAAGCTACCCATCCTTATCGCTCGCGCGTAATTATGTTGCTGTCTCGACTGTGCCCGCAGTGCGTGTGCGAGCGCGACAGCAACATAATTACGCGCGAGCGATAAGGATGGGTAGCTTGGGGTCATAGGACAAAATTCTAAGTGCTCACAGACCAGACTATAATAATAGTAGCTCACCCGTATCCAATGAAGGAAAAGTCACGTTTGGTGTTGAGCGTGTACAACGTGAGAGCGAACACGACAGTAAGGGTGATCGCCAGTGCTTGCAGCACCACCGCTGTGTCACAGTAAGACACCACCACGCCGATGGAGTATGCCTGCACTATGGTCTACGGAGAGGAACAAGCATTAACAACTTTAGTTGAGGAACAATTTTTTTCTATTTTTGCATTTTATTGCGATGGTTGGAGAAGTGAAATTATAAACAAATCAGGGGGAGAGTTTACATCACACGTCTTCGCTAGAAAAAAATGACATTAAATCTGTGATCATCCCACTGTGATGGATTGTACAGCACCCTTCGCGGCTAGGTACTTTCAATAACTAAAATCTTCATAGATTTTATGGACTTGCTAGCGAAGACGTAAACTCGCACCAAGCCTAGGCGCAAACCACTGATTTTCCGTCGGCCCATAGTTTAGTCGGGCTGTTAATCAGTAGGTATGTATGTATGCATGTTTGGAAGTGCGCACATTACACCGATTTGTTTTTCATCGGCTTCAACTATCGGCCGACTAAAAGTCGGTGGTCTGCGCTTAGGCTAAGCCCTCTGTTAACCCGTTAGTAAATTGAAAAGTGGTCCCCACTATACTTTGAATCTTATTCGCTTGTGATAAGGTCCAAAAACAATGTAAAAGAACTTGACAAATTCACAAATAAAAATTACCGAAAATCTGTATAATAAGGTTATAATCCCTAAGGTTGACTGGAGGAAAATGCCGAAAGGCATTAAGTCCGCCTTATGTACACTGTTTTATGTGCATACAAGTTTAAAATAAATAAATAATATTATGATGTAGCATCTATGTTATTTATGTATTTACCAATTCATCAGTACTTACAAAGCCAGCCAGCAGGTAGAGGTTAGCGGGGGAGTCTCGGCGCTTGGCGATAAGAGCAAACAGCGTGATCATGCTCAGGATAAACGCGACGAACACCATCCAGTTGCTGTGGACATTGTAAGGTATTACAACTATGAGTTTCCATTATGATTCCATTGCAGTGCAGGGGCTTAGCGTGAGTTAAACTTTACATCAAATGTCTTCACTGTGTAAAGAAATGTCATTAAAATGGTATAAAAATGTATAACGGATTGTACAGCGACCCAAGCCCTAGACCCTAGCTAGCAGGACATTTTCAAGAACTAAAATCTTCATAGATTTTTTGACGCGCACACTAGTGACGACGTTTGATGTAAACTTACACTCAGCCCTCTGGTACCAGTGTAAAGCCTGGTCCGTGAGCACGTAGAATTTTGTCCAATGACTCCAAGATACCCATCCTTATCGCTCGCGCGTAATTATGTTGCTGTCGCGTTCGCACACTCACTGCGGGCGCGCGTCGCACAGTCGCGACAGCAATATAATTACGTGAGAGCGATAAGGATGGGTAGCTTGGAGTCATTGGACAAAATTCTACGTGCTCACGGACCAGGCTTTAGCAAAAATTAATAGACGACAATAGCCCAAGGGGAGATGGCCGCTGGGGCAGAAAAGTTCTCAAGTTGCGACCACGGACCGGAAGACGTAGTGTGGTGTGGGCAGGGCCCCCACTAGGTGGACCGATGATCTGATAAAGGTAGCTTGAGGTGCTAGGATGCGGGCGACGCAGGACCGATCGTTGTGGGAATCCTTGGGAGAGGCCTTTGTCCAGCAGTAGACGTCAATTAGCTGAATGAAATGAACGAATAGCCCAAGAGTGAAGGCGTCAGACTCGAGTTTCCAGGAAACCTGGCTCAAACCTAGCTGCCACTGGTATTTTTTTTTAATATACCAAACTTGTGTATATTTTTGGTGAAACTTAAAGATGAGTGGTGGAATACTCACTTCTCGTGTATAAACCCCTGCACCGGTTTGACGAGCAGGAACACGCTGGCGATGGCGGTGGTCGCCAGTAACTGCACCGTGAGCAGCCCGTACACCTTCCGCACGAAGCCCAGCCGGATCTCCTTGTCCGCGTTCATCACGTTATTCCGGTAAGCGAAGTCATCCTGTTGACAAGTATCTCATGTCTAAATATACAGGGTGTTAAATCGGATTTTATCAATTTTTTTTGTATGAAAATAAAAAAAAATAAAAAATAAAAATCAAAAAATATTTATTCAGTTTAGACCACAAGTGGCACTTATGATGATATCAAATTTCTGACTTCACCATACCATTTATATGACCATGTCAACATGGTCTAGTGTCGGCTCATATACCCATTTACCTAACACCCTGTATAAAAGGAGAAACTGACTGACTGACTGACATATCAACGCACAGCCTAAACGGCTAAACGTAGGGACTTGAAATTTGGAAGGGACGTAGCTTAGGTACCGTAGAGGTGCACTAAGAAAGGAATTCCCGAAATTCCCACGGGAACGGGAATTAGCGAGAAAATCCTTTTGTATGAAAAATCTAAACCGCTTAAGTTAGACGCTTGAAATTTGGCATACAGGTACCTTAGTAAACTTAAAGCTTAGTTACAACAAGATATTGCAAAATTCCCACGGGAACGGGAGTTAGCGGGATAAAATATTTGTAAAAATCTAAACCGCGTAGGATAAATGAAGGAGGTAAAACGGGATCCACGCGTACGAAGTCGCGGGCGGCCGCTAGTTATTTATATACTTGATCATATAAAAAGGGTCGATTTGCAATGGGCCCCAGTATTGAGCCTTGGGGCACTTCCATTTTTAGAGGGGCACCCGAAGAGTTAATGGACATGGCGCACAATTTTTGTTGAAGATGCCAAAAAAAACTACAAAAAATTAGAATGAATACTGTATTTTTACTTTTTTGATATCTTTAAAAATGACTGAAATATTCAAGCTCAAAGTGCGCTCTTCCGCTAGGAGCGATTTTCCGCGCGGATTTTGAAAATGTGACGTAGTAACATGAAAAGCTGCATGTAAGACATTATCTGTGTACAATGGTTAGAATAGTTANCGGGGGCCCCGTATAATTGATACGGCAGATACGGCGGTAGCTGCGCCCCTGAGTGTTAGTTAAGTTTATATTATTTAGACACCATGAAGAAACTGTTTCTTTGGTGAAAGGTGATTGGTGCTATTACATTCATACATTATGTCCGCAGGGTGGTGATGTTATGCAGGAGAACATAACAGCAAATGTGTCCGAGGACACAGTCACTCTTGAATTTCTGCGATTAGATGGAGTTTTTGTATCACAGCTGGTTGATTTTACAAATGTATGTATGAAGGTTTTCATTTATTAAATCATTCTTTACAAAACTAATGAATGAGGAAAAATTGCAGAGAAATTCAGATAATTTATTTGATTGTATTTTAATACACAGCAGTGTTCACATTCATTATTTTTAATTGGATAGTTGATACCATTTAATCAATTATTCCAAGGCAAAACTTATCTAAATTATTCAAATAACACTCTTTTATTATTTCAGCTACTACTAGAAACTAATATTATGTTAAAATAATTATTGGTTTGTACAAAATTAGCTTATACTGATGTATGAAACAACGTTGTAGGAGGTTGAAGCAATGAAGGTTGTGATCCCAGGCGAGGAGGAGCTGGGCCAGGCCGGGCACCAGGCGCTGTGCTTCCTCACCCACGCCGCACAGGCCGACTTCATCGCGCCCGACGCCATGGCCAAACTCAGGCAGGTAAGAAAAACTACTGATGCTTTTTTATTACATTTACTAAAACAAGATTATCAGATAACAGCTACATATTTTTGGACTAATCAATGTACAAAGCCTTTGTGATACTGTTTACATACCCCCTATTTAATAAGTTTATTATGCTGTTCTTATTGTTGGCTACTTACATCCTCTTTTGCCACAATAAAATATATAGGGTGTCCCGTAATGTAACGTCAAGCCGGAACTGGGTGTTGAGGCAAGTTGTGCTGGTTATCAGAAAAATATAAAAAAAAATCTATGTGGCATATTTTAAAAATAATAGGCATTTAAAAAAAATCAAAAAATTCTACTCCAGGTGACGGTCCTTTTGCTCGTGTTGCCACAAATCTTCAGTTTTTCCAAATTTTTTTTTTGTTATGTAACCCTGAACAATGCTTCTCTAAATTGTTATCAAAATTACAAAACCAGCTGCTCCAGCTTGGATGAAAAAAATACATTCTTCTCAAAAAAAATTTCAAAATAAAAATTTTGCCTTTGTTTAAACTGACTGTACTGAAAAAAAATGTACTACGCGAGTGTGGCAAGTGACGTCATAATTTGGCGCATTTAGTAAGGATTCCAAAATGGTATAACAGTTGGTAAATTTTTGCTGTAATTGTCGACAATTTTTGGATTTTTGGAAATAGTCCCGTTTTTAACTTTATTTACCTTGGTTAAAAATTATTATTCTAACGTGCCCAAAATTCAAGTTTCTGTGACTGACTACCGTACAGTCAGTCACAGAAACTTTTGTCACCATGACAGTAATTAGTAGTTGACATACTGTGACAAACAGGAATCTTCCTAGTTCAGGTATCAACCCACCAACATTCTTACTTTTTGTTTTTCCTGATTGTTTGTTATCATGATATTATCTGTTATGTTAGTGAGAAATAAACATTACTTTACTTTATTTTAAACTTCCAGACATCCAAACTTTCGCATTTACCTATAATATTAGTAGGACACAATTATGTAATGTAGAAACAAACAAGACAAAAAAAATGTATACTTCAGCAACGCGAATTTTTTTATACTTCAGCATATTTAGGACACCCGGCAGAGTGTCCTGCCATGATCAAAGAAAAAATAACTCGCAATTTAGCAGGTACATTAATTTGACTGTTTCACAACTCTAAATCTATTTAACTTACATTACATGAAATTTATCACATTTATCAAAGCTTCTTAGCTTGTCTTTGTCCCAAAAATTATAAAATGAAAAAGGTAGTTGTCAAAAACCTTTTTAAAGGCGGATTTTTTTCAAAAAGGCGGGCGCGCGCGCGGCTATAAACGAGGTCACAAAATTCGGAAAGAACATAGCGAAATCTATTTATTTACCAATTTTCAAAAATTCCGGAAAACTTTCCAAGTAAAATTAACAAATAACTGGACTATTTACTCGTTATTGAGCACAGAGACACAAACTTGGTTATTTTTTTCAGAAAATTTATAATTTAAGTGCAATGTAAAAATGGCTTCATATTGCACAAAATTGGCAATAGGTGGCATAATAATGGTTACTTTTTTAGCGCCTAGTTTGAAATGTGATTGAACGATGACAACTAACAACAGTTGTCAGTTAGGTAAAATTTTATTTTAGTTGAAAAAAGACAAAAAGTGGTAAATGGGTTAACGTGCGGGGGCTGCAAAATCATGTTGTGACGTCACGCGCGAATATTGGAAATTTTTGAAAATTTTAAAAAGTCCGTGAACTTCTCGAGGCTCTATCTTCGGTTATACTGGATGGATTGAGGTGAAATAAAAACTAGTGTAATGTGTGTGATCTAAACTTTAAATTAAGTCATAATTTAACTTAATATTACAACTTATGCGTGTTGTCCATTCCGTGAATATGCTCAAATGCAACAACTTTTCTCAAAAAAAGTCTCCATACTAATTGGCTAAATTACTGATGATGATTTGTATGGGAAGGTTTTTTTTAAGGATTTGAACTTCCTTCTCTTAGGGAAAGTTTTCTTGCATCAAGGAGTGATTTTTTAACCATTTTAACCAAAGGGTCACGATTCAATTTAGACAGGTACCTTTTTATGCACATAATTTTTGTGTATTATTATTATTAGACGATAATATCACCTAAAATGGATAATTTTACACATTATTATACTCAAAAGATACATCTTCATATAAACATAACCACAACAATGGTTTACTGAAATGTAGGTAATTATGACATCAGAATCATGTAGAAGAAACCAACGAGACTACAAAATATTTACTCGTTAAGACAAGGTTTTCCTTCTCTGTTCTCTCCTTGAAGATATTTTTTCCTTATACTTATGCAGGGAAAGTAAACAGTGGTAAAACCTGCAGATTTATTCTTGACCCAGAACTTTATTAGTTTATTAAAGGAAAATGTATAGTCTAATGTCTGAAGTAGTTAAATAGAGATTAATTTGGTGAGTTTCAAACAGCTGTTTCAGTACAGCTAAGTATTAAGGGTACCTACTTTAACATGATCATTTATTCATATTCATGCTAGTTAGTTACCATTTGGTTTGACAATCATGACCATATTATTCTAATGAATAAAACTTTTATAATTTTTTTCTTTTTTTATTCTAAAGACGAATTTAACGATAGAGTAAATCTGATTTAAAATATTATTTTTTTGTTAAAATACATTTTCTATGGCTACTTTTGCTATCTATTGTCACGTAAACGTAATTTTAAGTCAAATAAAAAGATAAATATTCGAAAACCTTTGATTATATACGTTTTTTTACTATGTCCCGCTTCTGACGGAAGAATCCCGCTATTTTCACTCAAAAAGTACCAGAGTCCCGACTTGGCGAAAAAAAAAACTGGCAACGCTGATAGACACAGACAATGTCACATCTAGCTTAGCATTGTAGTGTTCTTGCTGTAATAGGTTTTGCTTTGAAATAAAAGTAGTTTTCCTATTGTGCTGCCGAGTGTACCATCATTTCAGAAGGTTGATGTAACTAAATAAACAATTATACTGAAAATAGCATAGCATTATCAAAATAAATCATGTAATTAATTATATCATGGCATGATAATGTTTAACCTTTAACTATAGTCGTGAAAAAATAATCACACTCCCATGGACGTCGGGTCTCACAGACCCCTATCTAAAATTCTTCATAATTTCATATCTGAACCAATTTGAATTTATCAAAGAGTTGATATATATCAAATAACTATTAATAAAGGATCTAGTAGTAAATGTAATCAATTTCTAATCATTATTTATTTATTTTTTGGCAAATTTAAAAAACATAGTCATTTTTCAGTGTTAATTGACTTAGCATCACATATAGGCTCCTTAATTACAGTAGATTAATAATAAATCAAACTTATATTTTTTTCCTTGCTTATTAATAACCGTGTAACATAAAAACATAAACAGAATTTCTGAAAGACATAAAATAAAATTTTTGACAAGGGTTAAACTTACAAAAATTATAAACAGTGGTCTAGAACACTAAAGACAAATTATCTCTACAGGCATGTGTCATCTTTCTTTGAGAGCTTTGATAGGCAAAATATACACCATTCAGAATCGGAATCTGCAGCAATGGTACCTTCTAAGACATCTAAACTCAAAAGAAGGATCGTCTACAAGTAAAACCTTACTTCTGGAATGTTACTTAGATAGTTGGGCTAATAATATAGCTGATGTACTCAGATACTTTCTACCTTTATGTATTCTTAAACTAAAACAATTTACAACATATTATAATGATATACTATAAAAAAATATAGCTGACAAGTCACATCCATACAAGTATGTTTGTATGGAAATTATAGTCATCGGGTCTCCCAGACCCCGATAAAATTTTGGATGGTTTTTACTCACGTAATAAGTGCCGGAAGACGCAATTTTATGACTCCTCGGTCCTAACACAGTTAAAACTGAAGCTACTGAGATGGTCGAGAGCAGCACGTGGTGGGAAGGTATTGAAACCGAGAAATTGAAAAGGGGGGTGGGCCTCTGAGACCCGACGTCCATAGTTAAAGGTTAATCTAAATTACAATACTAGCTTTCAGTATTTGACTTTGTTTATAATTTCACTAACTATTCAATGCCATGATTATCTTTCAGGAATAAATATTGAATGGCTGATAAGAGCTATAAAACAAATTCTAAGAATGAAGTTTTTATCTATTTGTTATTCAACGAGAAGGAACCTTGGCATTTTGCTTTCACATTAAACAGGTTCAAATAGTAAAAAAATGAGCGATACATATGACAATCGTCTAAATATATTCTTTTGTCGTGCCAATGCTGTAAAAATAATGTAGATACGATCGTGCTACGTGACGACATCTTACCTCAATGTTTTCTTTCCCACCAAGTTCACAGTCTTCCTGAGCATACATTAGGGGAATAGAAGCCATGATTAAGAATTTTTAGCACTTTTAATCACTAATTACTTAAATGCACAGCTGAAATAACAATTAAAAACGCGAAGGATTTCCCCGTTTACGTATATTTTCCATTCAATGCACAGATTCAATGACACATGATGTCAAATTGATAATAATGACAGATGGTATTGCCATCATAAAAAAAACTTGTCTATGGCTAATCTGCAACGTATTTATGTTTTTATAATAACGTTATTTTGAATACAGCTTAATTTCTTTATGTTCACGATCTTTCACGATGATGATGACGTTTCACTTTCCCGCCAAGAAGTTCTTTAAACCTAATTATAGCCTGACCAGGAACATAAAAACCCTGGCATAGAGGCGCGTCAATTGCAATTGATAGTGCAACACTGGGTACAGTCGTACCTGTATTAAATTAATAGGCTAACTTTATGTATGTATCAGGATTCAGGATTATAGGCTAATTTGATATTTTCATAAATTAACAAAAAAATATTATATTATAGGTAAACTGGTTTAAATAAATTAAATGAAACCATCAATCGAGCAAGTAGGATTTTATTATTATTCATCAATAATCAAATTCTGAACTTGAATATTCAACTACAATGTCTGCTCATGAACGCTTCAAACTCGGTACTCATTTCCAAATTCCATAAAATTCAATACTTACAAAGTGACAAAAAACTTTAAAATAGGTAGTTGAAACAAACCACAGCAAATTTTCATAGTTGACTGTACTATACGATAAACATGTCAGTCAATTTGACAACCTTTGTCGGAAACATTATTCAATGAAAATATTGTCCGAACCCTTAGTATTTCTCTTCGACAAATACTTTAACACATTGTGAACCACTTTTCTTTCACGACTATAAAAAGATTTTAGCAATTTAATTCACAAAATCAATTGCGCTTATTTAAAATAAAGTTTGTTTACACTTTGACAACAATAGACTGACATGCAAGGTGACATGTCAATGAAGTTTTCAGTTACTGTTGCCATTAAAAGAAATTAGTACCATTAGTTTTCCGCAACATGGCGAGGGTTTTTATGTTCCTGGTCAGGCTATACCTAATTTGCCTTCATAATTATTAATATTCATTTTTGTACCTTGTACCACTTCAGTTTTAGTTCATTAACTAATGGATAGATGGCATGGCATGTAAAAGTACTAAATTCTAGTTTTTCCCCGTTTTCGGTACCATAGCGTAGCGGTGATGTAGGTAAGTAGGTACGTTGGCAAACTCATGCAGAACGAATTTGAGCGATTTAATAACAACAAACTATTTGTCATCCGAGCACAGCAGACTCGGAGCAAATAGTGAATTTCACGTTAAATTGCACCACGTACAAAAGGCATGTAAAATGCAGGCGACATTTCGTAATAAGTTGCACTAGACAGAGATATGAAATAAAATTGAGTTAGCAGCCGACGCGCCCGTGCTGAACCGAACAAATCAGGTTGCGAGAAGAAAAATGTATTTATCCAGTAATGGAATCATGGTGGAATCCAGTTTGAAGCGGCTTTATTCTCTATTGAAGTTCTTTGTTATAGAACTGGGCATTTGTTTTAAAGTAGTGCGTCGGTAGGTATTGACTGTTAAACATATGAAAGACATTCGGAAAAACGTCTCAACTTCTGCTAACTAATGGTCATTATCGGTGGTAGCCACAGTAAACTAATGAAGTATGAATTAAGTTATCTAATCTATACTATCTATACTAATATTACAAATGCGAAAGTAACTGTGTCTGTCTGTCTGTTTGTCTTCCTTTCACGCCGAAACCACTGAATCGATTTTGATGTTTGGCATAGAGTTTGAGTTCCGGGAAAGGACATAGGATAGTTTTTAGTGAAACAGGGACGCGAGCGATAAAGTTTTTCTGTGACAGACAAAATTCCACGCGGGCGAAGCCACGGGCGGAAAGCTAGTTAAATATAAAGATCAATAGGTACCTATCGCGTAAAAAGTTTCACTTCGTCCAACTCAATACCTACCTACTGTTTGTTTAGAAACCAACTAATGGCCACTCCGTGCTTATTTGCTTTTATAATGCTTACCTAATAACCGCTTTTATAGCCGAAGCCCGCTATAAATCCTTTTAATTGGCAGACGCGAATATCCAGGTTAAACATTGCCTGCGTTAGTTTGGTTCGACTATAATAGCACTGGAGTTGGCCGTTATTCTACGATTATGATCACAGGTAAGTAAGTAGCTATTGGGCGAGAGATTGCACATTGATAACAGAACAGTTGAAAATGGACAAGGATTAGATTTTAGTAGCCTACGTAGAACACGGAATTAAGGATAGAAATTATTGTCCTTTAAGAAAAGTGAGAAACTTAATTGGCAAACTGGCAAATGCTAAAAATTGCTTATAATTTCCCAGAAGGATACCCAAATCAAAAACACTAAATATCATGCGCTCATCAAGTGAGAGTAATGTTAAGCCGTTTTAATTAAATACTTACTATCCTAGCTTTTTGAAGACTCTTTAGTTATCTGCGTTGGATAACTTTCTGTGTGAGAAGGTACTACTACCTAGTTTGACCACTATTCTGGTTGACTTTTGGAGTTATTTTAATGTAAGTTTGACATTATATTTGTGGAAATCCGTGAAATAAAATTGTAAATAAGTCATAGATTTTATCTTTGCGTACATCTATGGCTAAATTGCAGAGCGAAGAGCGCTTTTCGTAATCCTCATTTAGCTGCAGACTAAATAGAGCGGCATAGCTCTTGTGGTCAAGCTATAGGTACATAAGGAGATTTACCACAGTTATGCCCGTTTTCACCATCAATCCCTATTTTTTAAGTGACCCCCATGTAAGCAAAATTCCTATTATTTGTTACCATAGTCACTTAAAAAATAGGGATTGATGGTGAAAACGGGCATTAGTCTCACATAGATAGTACTGCCGGCTCCATAAAGTAGAAGTGGCGTTACGTCGCTGTTCAAGGCTGCGGTATGCCTAGGGCGGCGTTATAGCAAGGGGCGCGGCTGTTTGCATTATACGTCGTTACGGCTTTGCGGCTTGCCTTTTTACTCGATCATGATAAATGAATAGTGTTGCCAGGTGAAAATTCTTGCTAATGGATGCTAGCCCTTAACCTTGTTAAGACTTAGGTAGGATAGTAGGCGCTACATCATGAGTGGTGTTCTGATGAGTTTGTATTCGAATCTAAAAACTAACATCGGAATCTCAAAATCCAAATCCCTAAGTCATCATTTCATCATCATCAAGGCCTATGTTCAGCAGTGGACGTCATTCGGCTGAAACGAACGAACGAACCTTAGTATTAGTATTACCAGTTCAGTCCTTAAAAGGCTCTTACAGTATCTAGGTTTACCAGCCTTCGAGGTAATGCACTGGAAACCATTCCCCATCAACGAGTCATTACCTAGCTCTCGCACATAACTATAAACTTTTACTAGCAGTAATTAACGATGCCTCGTATGACGAATGTGCATCCAGCCTTTATTTCCCACTAGGGCGGCGCCACTGTGATACAGGGAATGTGAAGGAGGAGGTTCTCAATTCGACCCGTATGTTTTTTTTTTTCTATGTTTGTTACGCGATAACTCCGCCAATTATGAACCGATTTGAACAAATCTTTTTTCGGCGTATAGGTAATACCTCAAGGGTGGTCCCATTTAAATTTAATAATAGAAAAAACAACCTCCAACGGTGGAAAATTGGGGATGAACTTTTTTATACGCAATATCTCCGCCGATTATAAATCAATTTGAACGATTATTTTTTTGTTGAATAGGTATTATCAAAAGGGTGGTTTCATGTGAATTTGAAGAAAATATTTCACCCCCAAGGGTGGAAAATTGGGGATGAACTTTTTTATACGCAATTTTTAGTTTTTTTTTGTGTTCACGCATTTGAAGTCGGTTTTATTTTTTTAAAAGTTATTTAAAATCAAAAAAATCAAAATCAAAAATATTTATTCAGTTTAGACCACAAGTGGCACTTATGAACGTCAATAGAAAATAATAAAAAAAGAAAAGGTAGCCCTTATGGGGCAGTTTACATGTCTCCTTTTCTTTTGGGCCCTACACTTTTATTTTTTTTCCTAGCCCTACCCTTTAGGGTTCCGTAGCCAAATGGCAAAAAACGGAACCCTTGTAGATTCGTCATGTCTGTCTGTCCGTCCGTATGTCACAGCCATTTTTTCCGCAATGAACGGTCCTGCGCTGCCCGCATCCAGGCTCTTCCCGCGTCCTTCACCAGATTGTCGGTCCACCTAGTAGGAGGCCTGCCCACGCTACGTCTTCCAGCCCGTGGTCGCCACTCGAGAACTTTTCGGCCCCAACGGCCATCGTCTCTACGAGCTATGTGCCTCGCCCACTACCACTTGATTTTAGCAATTCTGCGAGCTATGTCGGTCACTTTGGTTATCCTGCGGATCTCCTCATTTCTGATTCGATCACGCAGGGAAACTCCGAGCATAGTACTAAGGTAACACTGATTAAGTGCTATTATTTTTAAATGCTTTCCAATCCTGATTTAAAAAATAGGATATTACCACCTATCTGCTCCTACATTTAAAAACTTCAGCATATAAGTACTTTAGGTTTCAAGGAATTGAAATAGAAATGGAAAAACGTAACCCTCCTTTTGGCACAGTCGGGTAAAAATATTAATTCAATACCACAAACACATACCTAACCTGCAACAGTTTTGCAATTGCAAATAAATGTAAGTACTTACCTAAGTACATGCTATAATGATACATTCTGAAAAATCCATGGAGGATTTTAGTAACGCCACGACGCTGGTCTTCCGTGGACACCCAATTGGAGAATTAGAAAAACTTAAATAGATTTAATTTCATATAAGAATCCTTTTGAAATGAGATGGCATCCTCATACGGCCAATAAGTATAGAAACTGCACAGTTTACTGAAGTTATTAAAGTTTATGCATAGTATTCCTACCGACCACTGTAGGCCGTAAATTTGGCACGCCAAATTGAGCGCAAGGCTCTGCTTTGATGGAGAGACTGACGACGTTTTTTGATTAACATGTACTTATCTAAGTACTTCATGTTATCCTGAATCTAGTATTAGCTGAAGCATACGAGTATATCGTCGCTATTGAAA